TCGCAATCGCAAGATCGCAAGGAAATTGACCAATCATAATTGATTATTCTTCGATCGCAAGAAGAACAATCGACTATGATTAGTCAATTTCTTTGCGACCTTGCGATTTGCGACTAATGTAGAATGGGCTTTATGCAATAATGTGTGCTTCCCGCTTAAATATCTTATATTTTGTCTTTATATATGTATAAATTATGTACTGTCTCTTCTACTATTCGTTTTATATGCCGATTTTAACTTTTTTTCTACAAAAGTAACGGAAAGTAACGATTTTTTTATCGTTACTTTTCAAATAACGGTAACGCGTTACTTTTTAGAATCAGTAACGAGTAACGGTAACGAGTTACTTTTTACCCCAAGTAACGGTAACGGTAACGCGTTACTTTTAAAAAGTAACGTCCCCAACCCTGTATATATATATATATATATATATATATATATATATATATATATAAAGTTGATGAATAGAATCAATAATCTTCTTAGACATAGCTTCTTTGACATAGTATGGCACGAAAAAATATTATATAAGATCAAAAGAATATTATCAGAACAATATAATCAATTATTAGAGTCGTACATTAAAGAAAGAGATTTTAGGATAAAATAGGAAGGATAATATTCTGAATTAAAGAAAAATAAAAGTAGATGTACCACAAGGAAGTTGATGTACACCAAGGACCTACTATATTTATTATACACTGGATATGGTACTAAAACAAACAAAATAACCGTTGCTACATTTACTGATGACACAACTATCCTGTCAGTGACAACATTAAAGAAGTAACAGACTACAAATGGCTCTAAACAGAATCAACAGATAGACAAAACGATGACGTATTAAATTAAATGGAAGCAAAACTATTCAGGTTATTTGTACCAATACGAGAACGAAACACTTACCAGTCAATCTGAGTAAAATTATTGTTTTAATTTTTCCCATATTATGCGTATTACTTTTTATCACATTTGCTTTATATTAAATTTACACATAAATTGAGAGTGAATGATTTGAGATACATAAAATATGTTAAATTTAACACATCAGTTTTTACAATGTACGTACGAGGACTAATTGAACATTACGTGTCATAAGAATAACCATGCCAACCTGGCAAAATATTTGGGAATGAACCTCGATGCTAAATTGCTTTGGAAAAAATACATTAAAAAGAAAGTTAAGAACTAAGACTCAGATATAAAAGAATATATTGACTGATGGGAAATCCCAGCTATCAATTCATAATAAATTACTGTTACACAATTACCGTTACACAAGATATTGGAAGCCATATGGACACATGAAATCCAGCTATGAGGCTGCACAAAAAAAATAACTAAAGAAAAATATAAACATTTAAAAATAAAGTGCTGAGGAACATTGTTAACATCCCTTAGTACATTCGTAACGAAGACCTCCACAGAGACCTCGGAATAGATATGGATATGGAAAAAGTCAAAAGATTCGCGCAGAATAAAGAAAAATTCCAAAATCACTCTAGTACAGCAGCAGTTCAACTACTAGATCAAAAGGGAATAGTTAGAAGACTCGAATTAGCAAAATAACATAAAGTCTAACTAATTTATTATAATTTGAGATGTTCTTAATAGGGAAATCTTAATCGACAATCTAGTAGTAATTTAGTAATTTAGGTGTAAAATGAAATGTTGTTAATCTGAAGACTGGATACGTTGTTAATCTATTAATAAAAATAAAAGGATAAAAAAATTGCAACTGACGTTTAATTTATACACATTATTAAAACAGGTGATATCAAGGAAGCAGACACATTACTGTCTTCAACTCAATATGGCAAATCCGATGAAATACATCCAAACAAACAATTTTTCACATTCTACCGTACAACATTTACTTCACGAATTTGAAGAAGAATTAGGATGTATGTCAGGAAAGTGTATGGATATTGGTTGCGGTCCCGGTGACGTTACAAGATATACTCTCTTACCCGCACTTCACCCAAACGCGGTAGTCATTGGTAAGAAAGTAACACATTGCAAAAATATAATACATGTTAACAAAAATTACAGTTTAATTGCATTGTACATACAGGTACTGATATATCGGAGGACATGATCAAATATGCCAAGGAATTACATGCTAATGAAGAACGACTCGAATTCGAAATTCTCGATATCCAAACTAAACATCTGCCTGAAAAACACATTTCTGCATATGATCACGTATTCACATTTCATGTTTTGCATTGGTGCGCTGATATGCGGTGAGGAAGATGTTAGAGAATATTAGGAAAACATCAGAAAGAAAGATATAAATGTGCATTAGAGATTGATTTTTTTACACTCAACTTTCTTTCAAATATTTTCATGTGACCGACACAAGTGAATGTATTTCGATATTTCCATGACACAACGAAATAGCAATATCACTTCGTTGATATAAAAAATACCAATCAATAATTTAATTATTTCATATATTTGTACATACAAAGTAACCTAATATATTCTGATAAATCTATGCTTTATTTATGTTTTATAGATTAATTTTTGCTTACTTCTTTATTTAATAGACAAGTATTTGAGAATATCTATCACTTACTTCGACCTGGCGGAACTGTGTTAATATTAACGATAATATCTAATGACGTATTTGATATTTTACATGAATTGAAGAAAGACAATCGATATACGTCGTACATGAAGGTAAATATTATTGTCTATATGCTATATCCCTTTGCAAATATTTATTTCTATAAACTATTAAATATTTTCTTTTCGCTTACACAGCATGCGAATAATTTCATTCCTGTATTCCACGATTCGAAACATCCACATAAAGATCTAAAAGCATTACTCAGAAGTGTTAGGTTCAATGTCCATCATTGCAGTCATCGGGAGAGAACATTTTCTGCTCATGACGCACAGAAAATACCAGGTATGAACCTCTAAAATAATATTTCCGTATAACAGATTTTTCCTCTGTTATTTGATTATCGTTTAAAGTATTAATATGACACACGACTTAAGTTGTTTAAGAATTATGACTTTACATTAATTATTTATTATTTCAACAGAAATGATACTGTCTTTCATAACGCAATTTTTTGAGGACATGCCTCATGACCGAATAGCAGAATTAGAAGATGAGTTTACACAGAAATATATGAATAGAAGGTTTTTCCATAAACGGGGATCCAATCAAAATGAAAAAATTGCATCAGATCTACACGAAATATTAATAGTTTATGCGCAAAAGGATAATGACGTCGAAAATATGCCTACATTGTAACCGTGTCACGTCGTCGATGATTGCACGACATAATAAAGCACATTTGCACTTATATTTTACAATCGTAATTATTGCACAATTAGTTGATTGTCAGGATTAAAATATATTTAGTAATGCTTATATACAGTGTTGTAACATATCTATATACATGTATCTTTTTGCAGTATCTATATACTTTTTGTGTATCTATATCTGTTTCTAGTTATATTTTTCAGTTGAAAATCTACTATATCTGTATCTAGTTACATTTTATCTCGTATATGTATCTAAATTTATCATTTTAGATACAAATACAAAATAAAATGCAATTTTGATGATTTTATATATAATTGTTACTTTTTTCACAAGAAACGAAATTGGTTCCATGGTATAAGAATATAAGGTGATGCATTCCAGTAGATGCAGTAGCTACCAATCAGAAAGTTGCCACAAATGCGAAAAACCTAATGGTTCTCATCAGACGTAACATTAATATTTAGCGCAATAGGTTGTTCGCGGAGCTATAAGATAGCGCTAACAAACGCTATTATGACGTCACTAGTGATAGTGTTCTACGTTATAACTGTGCGCCACCAACGCTATTCCTTCCGAGGTAGTGCATTGGTCACGTTAGCGTTCGGTGAGCTTCGCGAACACTTCGGTAGCATATAACGAATTCGATTGCTTGCACTAATGCACACTCAGTGCGCAATAAAGCTTGTTCATATAGAAATCCTGTAATAAGAGATCGGACACCATGTCAACGTTTTGTTTGGCTGCGCTATGTTTGAGACACGCTTCCGGTTAGGATACGCATTCATTAGCTGAATGGCAACACAAGCAGTGGTCTGTTCTTTTCAGCTGCAGTGGCTGCACTGCTGAACTGCAATAAGTTAAAGTAAGATAAGTATACTTCTAGTTTGGTCCCAAACATGGCAAATCTAATATCTACAGGCGACGGTCCAATATCTTTTGTTTATAATATGTTATATTTAAAAATTGTCTTAAATAAATTCTCAAATATTTTTAACTAGTAATATAATATGTACAACATCTAGTAATATAATATATACGAATCATTTTGTTAGCTAAAATGTTTTTAAATATGTATTTAAGACACGATCTTAAATATAAGTATGTACTATAAACAAGCCTTAGCGCACTCTCAGTGCGCACTAGTGCAAGCTACCGAATTCGCTAACAGATAGTATTTATATAGCGGTCAGACCGTTATATATTTAATATCTTTTGCAGTTTTAATTGATGTAAAAAGTGACATAATAATGGCAACAACAATAGCAAACAGTTATGTAGAAATTACTCTTCACGATGCATAAAGTGGAGAAGAATTTTATATAACACTGTCTGGAGCTGATGCTCTTAAAACATAAAACAGTAAATTGTCGTTATATTGTTGTCGTTAAACTTTTCTTTATTTGATCACTTCGGTTAATTTGGAATGAATCTGTTAACCATTTTATCTACTATCTGTAATCATGCATTGTGTATATGTCTCATTGCATCTGTGTATATGTGTAGGCGGTTGCTCGATTAGTATCGGACTCCCTGTATAAACATATATAATACAATCGACTCAAATGTATTGAAATAAAATCTAAGAAGAAGTAATTATTTTTTTGCAAGTAAAAACATGCGTGTGTCGCATTTGCATGCGGAATAAATCATCAGCGGCAAATGTAGTTACACACACACGCGCGCGCCCATATATGTACGCAAGCACGCACGCTACGTTTTGCTATGTATTGCGTCAACTGCGCGATTAGATTAAATTACGATAGGTTACATAATAATTTTGAAAGACAGCAAAACTAACTTTAAAATTGAAACCGAAATAGATTTCTGTGATAAAAAAATATTAATAAAAAGAAAACGATAAATACCAATGGGATTTGTAGAGAATTTAATTGCTTTTATCGTTATCTGTCGTTCCCTGTTAAAAGAGTATTCCATTATTGGAATATGATAGAGATAATCTTCTATAGAGACTTAGCGTATCTTATTGTTTTGTTGGAGTCTATCATGAATAAATCACTGAAAATCTGTCGTAATTAATAATGTATTGGTAATAACAATAGAACCCTCACGGAAAAAACTATAGGAATACGAAAAAATTACTGGCATACCATTGAAGAAACACTAATTTTTCAGTAGCATGTCAGTAGTTTTTATGTATTCTTGCAGTTTTTTCCATAAGCAAAGGAACATAAAGTTTTTTGCCACAAAAAAGATTTGCTACATATCGATAACTAAACATAATTTGCCACAAAAATTAGCCATTTTTTTTATATAGAAGCAGGTTTTCTTATTATTATAGCAAGTAAATAGGTTCCTACAGTAAAGAAAATGTAGCCGACACAATAAATTACGTTTAATTGTTTACATGTAGCAGCAAACTAATTACATATATACATATGCAAATTCTTTTTTTCCATGTATATTACCGCGGGGGCAGACTATAACGCCAAACATCCGCAATTAGATTCTAGGCTGATAACACCTAAAGGACGTCAACTTCTTTTAACTATGGAGACTTTGGATGTCTGGACGTGTTGTCAACTTCTTCTAACTATGGAGACTTTGGACGTCTGGACGTGTTGTCAACAAGGCAATCGACCTACTGGCCTACAGACAGGAAAAAAGTTCCAAATCTAATAGACTTCTGCATAATAAAAGGCATATCAAAAAGCATATCATACTTCCAATGTGAATCCAACTTCGAACTGTCCTCTGACCACTCTCCGGTACTGATCTTAATGTACTCACAAGTCCAAGTACAAACTACACAGCAGTAACACAAATTGCAATAAATTTCAAGAAATCGTAGAAAACACCTTGGATATTAAGAATAAATGTTCCTCGAGATATCGCTTTCTAAAGGACTCCCTGACAATATTCCAGCCGTCAATCTTAGTTTTGACGCCAATGGGTGTTGCAGCGTTCTACAACATTGCCTTATTTGGGCCCAAATAAACTGATGCGCCAGTTAACATGGACTTCCATAATAGGAACCATGGTTGCGTTTTCCAGACTAGTACCACTACTATTCCCCGAGCTTGATCTAATTGAATTTTTTGTAATACTCGTAAAATCATAGAAAATGGGGGAAACGCCTAAAATTCATAATCTTTCCAAGATATAGTAAACGCATCTACCGAACATGCTTCTGGGTCTCGATGCCATGAGCAAAACCTCTTATCGGAGGACACGATCAAATATGCCAAGGAATTACATGCTAATGAAGAACGACTCGAATTCGAAATTCTCGATATTCAAACTAAACATCTGCCTGAAAAACACATTTCTGCATATGACCACGTATTCACATTTTACGTTTTGCATTGGTGCGCTGATATGCGGTGAGGAAGATGTTAGAGAATATTAGGAAAATAGAGAATATTCAGAAAGAAAGATATAAGTGTGCATTAGAGATTGATTTTTTTACACCCAACTATCTTTCAAATATTTTCATGTGACCGACACAAGTGAATGTATTTCAATATTTCCATGACACAACGAAATAGCGATGTCACTTCGTTGATAGAAAAAATACCAATCAATATTTTAATTATTTCATGTATTTATACATACACACTAACCTAATATATTTTGATAAATCTATGTTTCATTTACGCTTTATAGATTAATTTTTGCTTCTTTATTTAATAGACAAGTATTTGAAAATATCTATCGCTTACTTCGACCTGGCGGATCTGTGTTAATATTAACGGTACTATCTCATGACGTATTTTTTATTTTACTTGAATTAAAGAAAGACAATCGATATATGTCGTACATGAAGGTAAATATTATTGTCTATATGCTATATTCCTTTGCAAATATTTATTTCTATAAACTATTAAATATTTTCTTTTCGCTTACACAGCATGCGAATAATTTCATTCCTCTATTCCACGATTCGGAGCATCCACATAAAGATCTAAAAGCATTACTCAGAAGTGTTGGATTCAATGTCCATCATTGCAGTCATCGAGAGAGAACCTATTCTGCTCATGACGCACAGAAAATACCAGGTATGAACTTCTAAAATAATATTTCCGTATAACAGATTTTTCCTCTGTTATTTGATTATCGTTTAAAGTATTAATATGACACACGACTTAAGTTGTTTAAGAATTATGACTTTAGATTAATTATTAATTATTTCAACAGAAATGATATTGTCTTTTCTAACGCAATTTTTGGAGAGCATGCCTCATGACCGAATGGCAGAATTAGAAGATGAGTTTACACAGGAATATATGAAAAGAAGATTTTTCCATAAGTGGAGGTCCAATCGAAATGAAAAAATTGCATCAGATCTACACGAAATATTAATAGTTTATGCGCAAAAAGATAATAACGTTGAAAATATTCGTACATTGAAACTATATCACGTCGTCGATGATTGCACGACATAATAAAGCACATTGTCATCTATATTTCACAATCATGAATATTACATTTCATGATTAGCTGATTGTCAGGTTCAAAATAGATTTAATAATTCTTGTATATGAGCAAAGGGAATCAAAGTTAATATATGTATTTTAATTATAATTTATGACGCAATTATAAATATAATAAATATATTTAGTTTTAATAAATAGATATAAATGAAATATTTGCTTAGTGTATACGTAAAATATATACTAATATCGAAAATGTTACCAAAACAGCAAATAATTTACTAATTATTTATCTTTTATATTTATTTACAATAAATTTCATAAACTGTTAACCCTCATTGACTATCAGTTAATTAATTGTAACAATTGTCTTTTATTATTGTGCTTACAAATTATTTACGAATATTGCACGACATTAATAACAATTTTTAACAATAAATAATAATAAATAATAACAACAATAACGATAAATAACTATTATTAATAAAAGTTAATACCGACCAAGTGTCTTGAGGTTCAATATGTTGAATATAACAATCTTAGGCCGAGGAAAACAGTCAATTGCAGATTTAGTGTCAGCTAACCGACAATATTCATTAGAATACGGCAAATAGCGCTAAGATAATCAAAGGATGCTTCAATTGTTACCCAGAGAGCACAAAATCTTCAAGGGATATCTACGGACATGTAGAAGTCTTCAGGATGTCTTTGGGATATCCTGGGGACTTATGCGGACATTTAGAAGTACTCAGGATGTCTTTTGGATGTCTTTGAAAGATTGTGCTGTCTGAGTACATATTGTCTCTGTACACAATCGGAAAGTTACTTTTAGAGTACGTCACAGGCACGAATCTGCAGCCGGTCTTATATTAAAAAAGACGGATTAAAAATGCTCAAAAAATCGAATATTAAATAAAAAATCTGAAAAGACCAGTTTCAACTTCTTAATGCACTCGTTTCACCACTTCGAAGTATTATTTTTACTGTTATTTGTCACAGAAACCAAGATCTTAATTAATTAAAAATTACTAATTATTGATATAATTTCATGATGTAACAATGTTTTTATAACAACCCAGACAGCACAATATCTTCAGGGAATGTCCTGGGATCTTTAGGATATCCTGTAAATATACAGGACTTTATTCCATCATTGTTAATAAAGAAACATATTTAGCATTCATAAAACGACACTAATAACAATAAATAACAATAATAAATAAATAACAATAAATAATAACAATAATTATTTATTTAATAAATAATAACAATAATTAATAACAATTAATATCGACCAAGTGTCTTTAGGTTTAATATATTAACCTTTTGCACTCGGATGTTCTCTCAGAGGGCACATTTTAAATATAGCAAAGATGTGTCTGAGTGCAAAGGGTTAAATATAACGATCTTAAGTCGATGAGAACAGCAAATTGTAGATTTAGCGTCAGCTAGCCTACAATTTCTCATTAGAATACAGCAAATATATACTGTTTCAGAAGTAAACCGTAGTTTCTTTCTTTTCTGATAATATATTGTGTGACATCAAGTGTCATTTTTAAAATTGTACATTTGTCGATATGTTAACAATAACTGGTTAAGCAGTTAAATTTTATCGGAATTACTGTGTAACGGCACTTATGGGAATTACTATACGTATATAAGTTATTACATAATATAGCGTATCAAATTTTATCTAAATTACATCGAATAATTTAGAAATGTGTATCGTAATGATATAATTTGCAAAGACCGAATTTGTTATTAACCTTTACCTACTGATGATAACACATTGTGACTTTGCTCATTGTTGTTAACAACTCACAATTATTTACCATTCGGCACTTTCCCATCATTCTCGGATACCGATATTGTATTCACTTGACGCGAAAATTTATCCGCAACTGCAAAATTTCAACTATATTTCGCCGTTGATATCGTACTAGAATATCGACATAAGATAAATGTCGCTCTGGTTCTTCAGTTTCTACTAAAAAAGGGAATTCCTTCTGACTTATTCCTTATTCCCCCTACATTATTGATGTTGATATAATAAGAATTAAGTTCCATGCTATGATAAGACTCCCACTATATATATATATATATATATATTACTTATACAGAAATTCATCTTACCTTTTAAGATTGGTTTAACAGAGAATTTTTAGTCGTTATTATTAATAATTTTTAGTCTTTATTATTAATAAATAATCATGATATATGCTGAATGAGATAAATTTAAAGTTGTTTTGATTTTTTATTAAAATTAATTCTATAAATTTCTAATTTATATTTTGTTGATATCTTGTATATCCGAAAAGTAAAATTCCGATATATTGGACATAATGCAATATACAACAAATACATAAACAGTAAGCTAAAATGCAATCATAATAAATAGCGCACAATTATGCCCAAACTGCTAGCCTATTATTATTCTGACGACACGCGTAGCTGGGATATCCGTGAAAATCAAGGATCCGGTAAAGTTACGTCTGCTAGTCGCGTAGTTTCGAAATTAGTTACGTCTTACTTTCGCTAGAATGCCTCAACCGCTCACATGTGTTGCCGTTTCCGTTTGAGCGTTCCTTATCGCTGCCACCGGCACTCATACAGCTAAAAGGTCAAACATTCGGTATATTATTTCAAACGAAATTATTCGTCCGTGTGCAGTTATCTTAATGTGAATTGTTCGTTGCGGTAAGGTGAAAGAAATATATAAATATGTGTGCAGAATACTCTGCTTAAATCCTACATCAATATTTAATTAACTTCACGACAACATTCTCGAATGTCTTGAAATTAAAATTAAAAAAAGAAAATATTTCGTAAGTTGTGTTATATGAAGCCGAATTTCTCATAATTCTTTTATTTAACTATCCTGAATAGAAAAATTTCCAAGGAAACATAGTCACATATGAAAAGTTTGTCAGTTTTGACTGTTTAGGCTTAATTAGACAGTCACTATTGAACAAATAAGTAAGAAAATTATGTTGAGATAAAATTGGATAATTATTGTTCACAATTATAGGTAATTCTAATTTTTTTATAGATGGTGTTGTTAAAAATGTATTTTCTGGATTAAGACTAGTCAGAAGTTAGCCAAATTAAACAGACTAGCAATTGACAGCTAGATTATATTCAAAAGTTGCAATATTCTAATTTCTACTTCCTAATCTAACATTAATCAGATATTAATTAGAACCAAATAATTAGTAAATAATGGCTAATTTATGTCTATTTAAAATTGATAATATCCTGGCTAATACTTTTTACACATTCACTGCAATGAAATTGGAAAAAAATGTAAAGTTAATGCTACAGTTCTTACTTAAATTAACCATTTTTATGAATGACCGTCTTAGTAAAAATTAAACAAAAATATGCATGTTTATGTAAACGCAAGTGTTCATGGAAATATATGTGCACACATATATGCACCTTCATATTAATGTAGTTTCATATAAAAGCACGTATTTAATGTTTTCGCAGTTAGTTATTTATGAAATATATGGAGTGTCTGCTGATAACATATATAACTCTTCTGTAGATTATTAATCTACAGATCTTAGTCTGTAGATTAGGTCAAATTGAACAAAAAATGTTTCTATCGTTTTTCAGACACTCAATATAAAACTTTGAGTTATTAATTAAAAAAAATAACGAATAAGCGCATGCACGATCGTTCGCCAGTCTTATTTAATTAATAATTAAAAAATCTAAATGGTTATTTGTAAAATGCTATGGTAAACTCGAATATGATGGCCATACCGGAAAAATAGCTGTGGTCGCGTGCGTCGTTTTCTTTGTTTCCATCTTAGGATAATCGCTCGCGAGAAGAGGAAAGTATGTGCAAGAAATGAGATGGAGATTAATATAAAAATGTCGTGTTTTATTCTTCTTTACATCCTTCTAGTGTGTACGTGTGTCAGTGTTTATTATTTATTCATGGCGAGCGGCTGCGATATTGGAGTGTCCGTCGTAGCATCGGCTCTCGTGATGAGCGACGGTGATGGACGGTCGTCCTCTGCCGCGTCGGCTTCTGCGAAGATCGTCCGCGAACGCCGAATATCGCTGGTCGTACCGGATTCCGTGGTGATCGACATCGGAAGACGATTTCTGCGTCGCCTTGTCGGTGGTCTGCCGAGGTTGTTGTGGCGAAGGCAGGTTCCTGGACTCGTACCGAGGTGAAAGCGGACGCCTTGCTCGTATGTTTCAAGTTGTAAGCAGCTCTACGAGCGACCGAGCCTTACCTTATTGGCGCCTGATCGATTGTTTAGAGCACCCAAGGCCGAAGGGACTCTGTAGATCGCCCGGCGAAGTACTTATGCTCCGAAGGCGAAATCGCGCCGTTCGGCAGACTCGGGATCGCAGACTGGGATGCCACAAGTTGTGCCTCCACGTCGTCAGGAGATTGCGAGCGCTCGACCACCGGTGCTGCCCCAGGAGGCCGCCTGAGAGGCGAAGGCGTCTGGGGTGGTGTTGTGTACAAACGTTGCCGCTTCCGCGGAGATGAGGCTCTGTCCATCTGTCGTTGTGTGGCAACGGCGGGTCGCTTCCTAGGTGACGGCGTCCTAGGATCTTCGTCGATGAAGGTGTCTCCGGGATGGATGACCACAAAGAGGCGGGCGAATTGGGCACGTTGCCTACCCACGTCTCCGCAAATTCCTCATTGCTGTCAGGATAGAACAGGTCCAGTAGCCGGGCCCAGAGCCGTTGGCGTCGTCGCTCCTGAGCCTCACCTTGAGGCCGGTGTTGCTGCGGCTTCAGGTTGTCTCCGGCGTCCGTCCGGCTGAGCTGGAATCAACTCCCCGCAAAGAGTGTTGGCTCTTGCTCCTGGTAGCGGAGCTAGTACGTCTCTCTCTGGGCGTCTCAGGATTTAGTTCACTTTTCTTCTCCTTAAGAGATGTTTCGTCGTCGGAAGACGAGAGCGAATTAAAAGTCCACTCACCTTGCTCTCTATTTATAGGAGAGTTTCTTCCATGTGGTGAGTGTGAGTGAGTTTTAATTCCGTGAAAAATCGCTAGGCTCGCGCTTCCCTGAATTTCATCGCGAGGCTCCCATTTATCGTCGCGCAGCCGCACTTCTCGCAGCACTCGTCCGCTATAAGGTGCGCCCCATATAAGGCATCTCCCGTTCTTTTAAATTCCCTATGCACCTCGCTTGCTGAGCCTCCCCTTCGTTGTTTAAAGGCTGGGTTCTTGAAGCGTACCGGAGGCTTCGAAATTTTCCCGCTTTCTGTCCTGATTGCCGTCTCATTTAAAACGTCTTGCGCGATCTTCGGTTGCTGTGTCAGCATCGCTGACGGAATACTTGTTTCTTCCGTCAAAATGTATGCCGGTTTTAGACGATCGATTGAGATGTTGCTCGTCTTTGCTCCTATCATCAGTTTAAAAAACTTTGGATTTCTTTGCATGACTTCGTAAGGACCGTCGTATGTGGGCTGTAATGCTCGCGTCGGAGCATCGTATCTTATGAATACATGAATCGTTTCGTTCATGTTCTTGTATTCAAAGACGGCTCGTTGACCATGCTGTCGTACTGTTTGCGGTTGAAGCTTTTGTATGCGACGTCTGAGGTCCTGAATAAAGCTGCTGGAGTCGTTTTTCTCCGCCGATGATTTTTGTAGAAATTCTCCCGGCAGTCGAATTGGTTCTCCGTAGATCATCTCTGCTGGCGATGCCTGTAGGTCCTCCTTGAGAGCGGCGCGTATGCCCAACATGATGACATGTAGGATTTCTACCCAGTCTTGCGTTTAATAATATGCAATTGGCTTTCAAAGTCTGTGAAATCTCTCGATCATGCCGTTCGCTTCCGGGTGGTAGTGCGCCAGTGTGTTGCGCCGGTCAGCTTCGTTAGCTTCTGGAACAATTCGGCTTCGAATTGACGACCTTGATCTGTCGTGATTCGAGAAGGCGTCCCGAATCTTGCCACACAGTTGGTAAACAAACTTTGGGAGACTGTCTCCGCTATGATGTCTGTTATGGGGAATGTTTCCGGCCACCTCGGCGAATGCGAAATGGCTCCTATTCAGCGCTTAGGCCGAAAGTCGCCTATGTAATGTTAGGTTATAAGTTATTTTGCGTTAGCGTAGAGAGCCCAATCTCGGATAGTTTTTTAGGGTGTTTTAAAGAAACATTGGCCCTTGAAAATGTCTATTTTCGAAAATTACGTCAGATATGCTTATATCGTTCTGTGTCGACTACGGGGTGACAACGCGTTTTTGCAGGACTCTGCTGCCTCTGTAGCACACCTAGTACATTGAAAATATTTTTCCAATATCCCAAAATCGCCCCCATAACGTCAGATCCATCACAATAGAACATTCGGACTCTCGCGAATGCGAAATGACTCCTATTCAGCGCATAGGCCGAAAGTCGCCTATGTAATGTTAGGTTATAAGTTATTTCGCGTTAGCGTAGAGAACACAATCTCGGATAGTTTTTTAGGGTTTTTTAAAGAAACATTCGCCCTTGAAAATGTCTATTTTCGAATATTACGTCAGATATGCTTCTATCGTTCTGTGTCGATTACGGGATGACAACGCGTTT